GGGAGAAGGAGAGAGAAAGAGGGAGAGAGGGAGAGAGAGAAGAGAGAGAGAGAGAGAGAGAGAGAGAGAGAGAAGAGAGGAGAGAGAGATAAGAAAAAGAGAGAAATGTGTGTGAGAAGAGGAGAGGGAGAGAGAGAAGGAGGGGAGAGAGAGACCTAGTGAGTTTCCATGGCTGAGGACAGATCTGATCTCCCCAGTTCTACTCCACCAACCTAACCACTATGCCGTATTGCCTCCCCCCCCCCCCCCCCCAAAATCCGGCTGCCTTCCTGACCTTCGTTGTGCTGTGCCCGACGCTTCTCGTCCCGCGTTGTCCGTGGAGCTTCTGACTTCCTGGGAGAAGGAAAAGGCAGGTCTAATTTACATTTATGTTGTTAAATTTGCATCGTGTCACATTTAAGACAGAATTCTCATAAATGGGATACTGTTGATCTGTGACACTAGCTGAGATGTTAAAAAGGGACAAAGGGTTGGAAGGGTGAAGAGGAAGATGGGCTTCCTATCGTGCATGGTGGATAGGAGACAAAACAAAGAAATTTGGGGTGCAAATTTATTCCCTGATGAGAAGGTACTGCAAGATTACTATTAAATGAAACCCGAATTGTTTCTATTGGGCTTTATGGACTGCAGTGGAAAAGAAATGTGGGAAATTAAGATTATTGTATGCACACAGGGAAGAATAATGGAATGTACACAGTGGAACATTGGATTGTAGGACTGTTTGATCAGGGTAAAAATGATACAAGACTTAAAAAAAAACCCAGACTGGAAACATTTTTTGGACTTTTTGGGTAAAGAAGAAAAGATTGGTGATTTGTAGAAGGGGGATTAAAAAAAGTTAATGGATTTTCCTTGGTTTAACCTTGTGTAAGTTTTGTTCTTATGTCTTTTTAGTTTTTTTTAAAAAATATTTTTTTAAAATAAGTATCTCATTCTCCTAATGCTGGTCCCTGAACCAGAATAAAGATTTGATTTGAAAGGGTAAAGAGGAAGGGGGGGAAATTAAGATGGCATTTACTCAACGGAAAGAAGGATGGAAGTCATCACTCCATGTTTTCCTTCTTTTTTTCATCCCCTCCCCCTTTTTAATTTTTTTTGTTTTTATACTTTTATTGTATTTGAATTTGGAAAGATAGCATTTTCTGGAAAGGACCTTGGAGGACTTCTGGTTCAACCACCTGCTCAAGGCAGGAAAACCTTTGAAAAATCCTAATAATAATAAAAAAATAATTTACACTCAAAGTTGTATTCACAAATCCTGAGACCCTGGCACAGGGGTCCTCAACTCCTGGTCTGTGGCATGCCAAAAACCGGTCTGCACAAACAAGCCAAGATTCAACTGTGGGATACGGCAGCACGCAAATTCAGCCCCCTCCAGTCTGCGGAAAAAGCTCTCGCCAAGGAATTGGTCCCTGGCACCCACAAGGCTGGGGTGGGGTGGGGGCACTTCCCTAGCAAACAAATCCTGAAAAACAGCTCCCACCCTTCCAGTTCAGACGTCAGCAAGCATGGCAATAAATACGAGTCCTGTCACTCACGGGGAATAAGGGTGAGTCCGAGGCGCAATTGACCGCTGGGTTCCACTCTGTAGCACCTCCTGGGGTGACATCATGACGAAAAACTGGCCTGTTTGAAGTGGGAGAGAGAGAAAGAGAGAGAGAGAGAGCGCTTTGGGTTTCTGAAATGAATCCACATCCAAGAACCAAACACAAAACTGGAATTCCTTCACAGTCGTCTCTTCATTGTTGTTCGCCTACAGACAGAATCTTGCCGGAGTAAAGCAACTATATGCCATATTTTTCGGAGTGTGAGATGCACCAAGATTTTGAAGAGGCAATTAAAAAAAAAAGATTTTGCACTCTGCAGGCCTCACAAACCCTCTGCACGCCTCGTTTTTTGTGAAAAACGGGGCATGCAGAGAGTTTGAGAGGCCTGAAAAGTGCTCCCGGAAGGGAGGAGGGGAATGAGCAAAAAACTACCTGTTTTTCACAAAAATGGACCCATTTTTTGCCAAAAGAAGCTTTTAGGAGGCTTGTAAAGTGCTCCTGAGGGCGGAGGGGAANCGTGCGTATGTGTAGATCAGTGGTAGTCAACCTGATCCCTACTGCCCACTAGTGGGCATTCCAGCTTTCATGGTGGGCGGTAGGGGTTTGCTGTAACTCTGCTTTATAAATTGTATAAAGTAAAGTTACTTCCCTACTTTATAAATCACAATTACTATGGAACCGGTGGGTGGTTAGAAAATTTTACTACTAACAGAGATACAAAATTGGCGGTAGGTGTAAAAAGGTTGACTACCCCTGGTGTAGATAGATAGATAGATAGAGAGAATTATCCTAAAAATATGTTCCAGGCGTAGTTATAAAAGCAGAAACTGGCCTTGCGATCTCCAGAACTTAAAATATATGGCTCACTCGCTTTCATTAGCCTCTGCTAACATTGTCAGAGTGCAAAAACCATTAAAGAGATATGTGCCTTTATACACTATTAATCAATTTGGCCATTGCCGAGATAGCAAGGTCCATTTCTTCTTTTATATATACATAAACGGGACCAGCACTCCACCCCCCCCCAAGGTTTGTAGAGGGACGGCAGCTCCGATCACGCTTTAAGCCCAAAACACCAGCTTGAGGATGGCGAGTGAGACCTCACCGAAACGTTGCCAAGACAATCTCAATCTTACACGGCAAAAGACCCGAATACAAGACCAGCATCAGCACTGATGAGGTTACCTAGTTTGGCAGTGAAATGTCTGCAGGAAAATAACCGAGCTCAAAGAGCACCAAGGACCACCCCCCCGGTCCTCCTCCTCCTTCCTTACTCCTTTCCTCTCCTCTTCCACTCCGAACTCCCCTCCCTTCCAGTACCGCTGATGTTCTCTAGTTGGGCCATGAAACGTCTGTAAGAAAACCACCAAGCTCAGAGAGCACCAAGGACACCCACAATCCTTCTCCTCCTCCTCCTCTCTATAAACCCCACTCCCTTCTAGTTCTGATATTATTACCTACTTGGGCCATGAAACTCTGCAACCACCAAGCTCAGAAAGCACCCAGGAACCCTCAGTTCTCCTCCTCTTCCACTTCACATACCTTCCTCCCTTCTAGCACTGATGATGTTTCCTAGTTGGGTCACGAAACGTCTGCAAGAAAACCACCAGGCTCAGAGAGCACCCAGGGCCCCTCAGCTGTCCTCCTCTTCTCCACAACCATCCCTCCTTTCTAACACTGATGATGTTCCCTAGTTGGGCCATGAAAGGTCTGCTCAGGGACCACCAAGGACCCCCACAGTCCAACCCTGAGCTACTAATCTTCTATTGGTTTCACTGCTGCTTGTCCGAGGCAGGAGAGCACAGCTTTTGGGGGCGACTTACACGATTGCTGCAAGAGAGATTTGGGGGTCCCTATGCACACACCCTTCCTCTTTGACAACCAGGCACCACCAGCCCTGCCAATGTTGAGGGGGGAGAGAGACAACACAAACCTGTCCAAACGAGCTCCGAGCACCAACCTTTCCCCCCACCCCACCCCACCCACAGACCCCAGCCGCCACCTGAACAAAAACCAAACGCAAAATCAACCCAGCAAGGCAGTTTTTTAATTAGGTTCCTTTTTTGTTGTTCTCATCCAAAACGCAGGAGATATATATATATGTATATATATATATATGGAAAAAGAGAGAGAGAGAACTACTATGCTGATCGTTAGATGCATCATCTTCGAGAGAGGAAGACAGTGACCGCTCGGCACCAGCTCCGGTCCTTGGCACTCTGCACCGCGAGCAAAGTCGCGTCTTTTCTGCAATGAGGAAACGCGCGTTGAGCGTCGGCCTTCCCGGAGTCCATATCCAAGGAGAGAAGGAAGGCTGGGCTAATGGAGGGCAAGCAGGAGGGGCTGCCTAGAGCGCCACCCCCTTGCTTGGCGGGAGAAGAGCCCGGGAAGGGGCGGGGGGACGATCCCCAGAGGCCTCTGTGCCACGGGTGGGAGGAGGGGACTCTGGAAGGGAACTACGTGAGGTTGCATGCAAGGGGGCGTCCGGGGAAGCGCGCGAGGGGGCGGCAATGCTCAGCAAAAACGGCAGGGCTGGGAGAGAGTCAACACAACTTGGAGAGGGGGGAGAGGAGGGATCATTTTAGGGTCCTACAAACCAACAGTACATTTGTAGAGATCGAAGGGCCAAGCCAAAGGCTGAGCCCAGAAGGGCAAAGTCGAACGTCCTCAGCAGAGTCCTGGCCCCGAGGAAGGGGATGCGGCATTCCGATCCGGCGCCAGAGAGAGAGAGAAGAGGGGGAGGAGGGAAGGCTTGGAAGCACCGGTGCAGCTGGGCATCGCGGCTTCCTGCTGTGCCCGAGAGAGGGGGGGGGGGCGGTGGGTGTCCGTGTCTTGAGCGAGGCCCTCCCTGCCGGTAGGTGGGTGTTCGTTCAGTGGGATTCCTTGATGATCACCTCCACGCCGTGCTGTCGGAGCTGCGCTCGCAAAATCAGGTTTTTATTCTTCAGATCCTCGACCTGCGAGAAGGAGAAGAAGAGGACAGAGATGGAGGCCCGAGGGTTTTATCGATTCTAAGATGGGTGGGCATCTTAATGGGACCTCCACCCATCAGTTGCTCTGGCCTAGGCTTCCCGATACAGTAAGACACACATGATTAAGTCCAAAAACCCTCTTTTTATTTCAAAGGCTGTGAATTATATTCATTCACAGCCTGTAATGAGTCCCAAATAGTTTGTAAAGAGTCCGACAGAAGTCTGCCAAAGTCTTTTGGGATAAGGCTGAGAAGCACCCACTTTTATCTCCCTTGAAACGCTGCCAAAGACCTAATTGGCAATTAGCTTGGCAAGGCCACGCGGAGCACAGAGTCAAAATGGAGCTTCTGAAGGTAAAATGACCAGCACGAACACAGTTGCTTCCTGCAATGGCTCACCTGTCTTTGCTCCTCCTTTACGTCCTATGGGAGGGGACAATCATCTCCAAGCCTTACTCCCGAGTCGTCCCTTCTGTTTTAACTGTTCTTACCTTCTGGCAGCTCTGCACATGCGCGCACTGGGAACAGGGGGAGTCTGCTCCTATGCCTCACTGATTTCCAACTCTGGAGACTCCGGAGGCAGCACATAACTCCCAGATGGCCCTGGACCCCTTTCTGTCTCTGAGGCAGAGCCCTTGTCTGAGCCTTCCCCAGACTCCAGGGATGGCCCAGGTTCCTCCCCAACCTCCTCACTGTCCGACTCTGCTGCCAGTTCCACAAGCCACTGGCAGATCACAACAGAAGGAAGGAAGGAAAGAAAGAAGATATTGAGACTCTAGAAAGAGGGCAGAGAAGAGCAACCAGGATAATGGGGGGGCCTGGAGGATCAAACATACAATGGATGCTTGCAGGAACTGGGCCTGGCTGGTCTAGGGAAGAGAAGGACTAGGGGAGACAGGAGAGCATCTTCCAATATTTGAAGGGCTGCCCCAGAGAGGAGGAAGTGGGTCAATTCTCCAAAGCCCCTGAAGGCCAGAGAAGGAAGAATGGAGGGAAACTGACCAAGGAGAGATTCAACCTGGAAATAAGGAGGAATTTCTTGACAGGGAGAACCATCAACCCATGGAACAGAGGTTGCCTTTGGAAGTTGTGGGAGCTTCATCCCTGGAGGCTTTCAAGAAGAGACTGGACTGTCCATTTGTCGGAAATGTTGAATGGTCTCCTGCCTGAGCAGGGGGTTTGACTAGATGACCTCCAAGGTCCAACTCTGTTGTTCTCTTCTGATCTCTATATGGATGTCAGTCCACTAATTTTCAAACAGCTTAGTAGTTTAAACATTTATCTAGGTGTGTTTCGCAAGAGGTGGGATAGCAATATTGCAGTCATGTATTAATCAGTATTCAACTAGAGGGGGAAATATGTGTAATTCTGTGATTTCTTTTTCGCGCCTTTTGTTTCAATGTCATGTTCGTTTTGTGTGTGGGGTGGTGGTGGTTTTAAATGTGTTGGGAGTTTTGTATCTTAACCTTTCTTGAATAAAACAAAAAGACGAGTGGAGCCCAGTTCCCAGAATTCCCCAGCCAGCAGGTTGAGAAGCCCTCCTGGTCAAAGGATTGGCGAATGAGGTGGGTTGATTTGTGAACTAGATCAGGCTGCTCAGCTGGATTCACCCTAGACCAGGGGTCAGCAAACTGCGGCTCCGGAGCCGCATGTGGCTCTTTCCTTCCTGTGCTGTGGCTCCGTCACAATTTTGAGAGAAGCTTCCGATGTGGGGGGAGGTGGGGGGAGGGAGAAGCACAGTGCGCCAGGAGAAGACTCTATGGCAAGGGGAGGGTTTCCCAGTTGTCTTCACAGCTGATAGGGCTTTCGGTTAGGAAAGGTAGAGGAAAAAGTAAAAGTACTCTAGGAGGAGACTCTATGGTGGGAGAAATTGAACTTCCGGTCAGCCCCAGAATTGAACAGGGGGCTTCCGGTTAAGGACCTTTGTGGCTCCCGGAGTTTTCTTTTCTGTGGGAAACGGGTCCAAATGGCTCTTTGAGTGTTTAAGTTTGCCGATCCCTGCCCTAAACCCTTGAAGTGCCTGTGATGATAAAGCCCAGAGCATCGAGGGTCCCCTCCAGAAATAGGGATTGGGGAGGGGGGGATGTCTGTCAACCTTACCTGTTGTCGCAAGACTCCGTTATCCACCTGGAGCTGGTCCAGGCCCTGCAGTTCCTCGGAAAGACGGATGTTATTCTGTCTTAATTCCTGAATGTAGTCGCAAGCTTTGGAGAGGATCCCTCCTTTGCTCTACAGGGGGAGGAAGAGAAAGGGACTCAAGAGAATAGCCTCGGCTACTTTGGGGGAGCCATCATTATGGATTTGGTCACCCCCTTGAATGGGGAGAAGGCAGAACCTTCTGGGTTATCCCTCCCCAAGCATCTTGGACTGGAGACCAACAGCTCTTTCGCTTCCAATCGACTAATGCCCAGAAGATCCCTCACTAGATCACCAGAGGTGCAAAAGCTGCTACGGGGAGGAGCCTGTGGCCTCCAAGGGTCTACTAGACGTCATTCAAGCCACAAAAGCCAATGGTGACTGCCAGCTGCCTGCAATTGGGCAGATCGAGTCCCACCAGGCTCAAGGTTGACTCATACTTCCGTCCTTCTGAGGTGGGTAAAATGAGGAGCCAGATTGTTGGGGGCAAGAGGCTGACTCTGTAAACCGCTTAGCTGTGAAGTGGTATATAAGTGTAACTTCCTTCCTCTCTCCCTCCTTCCTTTCCTCCCTCGCTCCCAGTGGTTAGAATGAAGTATTACAGGCAAACTCTGCCCACTGTCAGCAGTTCGATACTGACCAGCTCGAGATTGACTCAGCCTTCCATCCTTCCAGTAAAACGAGGACCCAGATTGCTAGGGGGCCAGAGGCTTACTCTGTAAACCGCTTAGAGAGGGCTGTAAAATCACGGTGAAGCGGTATATAAGTCTGAGTGCTATTGTTATTCCATCCATTCATCACCTTCTATTCAAATACAGGCCGTCCTCGGGTTACGACAACAACCGGGACAAAATTTCAGTCGGTAATTGATGTGATTGTAAAACATGATGTACTGTGAGTGCTTGGGGACGGAAATTCTGGTCCCAATTTGCTGTCATAACCCCAGGACTGTTGGGTTTTAAACGGGAAGAGGCGAGGGAGTCCCAAGCAGGTCACACATGCCATGGGTGTGTGTGTGTGCCCTGTGGGGTGCTACAGAGTAAGGGACCCCTGCAGTGACTTATAAGGGCAGCTTGTCAACTTCCCAGCTTCCCCACTGAATTTGCTTGTGGGAAATTGGGAGGGAATCCCTCTATATATACCACTCCATGAAGCCTTATTAAGGCCACACCTAGAGTCCTGCATCCAGTTTTGTTCACCACACTATGAAAGTGGTTGAGACTCTAGAAAGGGTGCAGAGAAGAGCAACCAGGATGATGAGGGGACTGGAGGCTCAAACATATGAAGAATGGTATATATAGAGGG